GTATAGTGTGTGCCGCGCCTAACGCAGGCGGGCAGGCTGCGGCTGCGCCGATAACCCTCTACCGGCTGCAGGCATGTCCCTGCGATTCTCTTTTGTTTCGTATCTTATCCGATTTTAATTACGAGCGTAGAGAAATCTCGTTATTCCTTAAAGGGATATGACTGCTCCGAGCTAATTTACTATCGACCCTTGCACGATTTTATGTTCTTGACTTTATTTTATTGCTTTTGGTTGGACTTTATGTAGGTACGGCACGCACGTATTATGCCCGTTTGATGTATGGTCTGTACATTTAATATTTCACGGATGATTCCATTCAATAATTTCATATTCAACAGTTACATATTTATCGCTTGACACTGGTCTTAACACTGTTACGTTAAGTAGATATTTATGACGCATTTTTTTATAAAGCGAACAAGAATGATACAAATGATCTCAGTAATATTATAAATAAACGGTACCTATTTAGATATTAAAAAATAGTATAATGAAAAATACAACTCAAGACGTGTGCTTGATTCAGTGTGGTGGGAATGTTCAGCAGTGAACATTTCCAAACCTTTTGTAAATTTTAAGTAGGGACTACTAATTTTCATTGTTTGCAACCCAACATAACTAGTTTTTAGTAGGACCTGCTCTTGTCTCATAAGTCTTTACATGTTTCAACAAATGTTTATTTATTTATCTGTAATCGTTTCCAGAATCTTCTGTGGGCACTGGCGCTGGGTGCTTCCCGTCGGGCGCGGTGGTGCACACCGAGACCGGGCCCAAGGATATCGCGGCACTCCGCAAGGGTGACCGAGTGCTTGCTGCCGATGATGACGGCAAGATGATCTACTCCGAGGTGGGTATCGTGTCTGTTGTGGTATACTGGGTCATAATGAAACCTCTTTAGAATAGCCCTTGAGTGGTAAACTGAGTGACTACTGTGTGTAAAGTTGGGTCAACAGTTTCTCAAAATACGTGAGGGTTCTATACTTTGTACGCAGCATTTTTCAAAGTCACTAAACTTCTAAAATGGAGTCCTTGAAAATGTTCATTTTCACTAATAAAGACCATCCGTGTCTACCACCACCAAAAGTACCACAAATCTTAGAATACCTCAAACGCCTCTAACAAATGGACAAAGGCAAAAAAAATTACACAAAATTTGTTTTAAAGTGGCTCCCGCAAAATAATTACCTTTGTAAAAAAATAATACAAAAAAATAACAACTCGTTTTATTCTAATTCCAGGTATTAACCTTCATCGATCGAGATCCGAACGTCACTCGAGAGTACATAGAAATTACGGCCGAGAACGGAGTGGCCATCACGACCACTGCCTCTCACCTTCTGCTGCTGGCCTCCGCAGAGGGCTGGCGAGAGTCTTTCGCCGCCAGCGTGGATGTAGGAGACGTGCTCCTTACTCGGGGCCGAGGCAGCGTCATGAGGCCATCCCGCGTCGTGCATACACGTGTCCTCACGAAGCAGGGAGTGTACGCTCCCATGACCAAAGCCGGCACCATCATCGTCGACGACGCCCTTGCCTCCTGCTACGCGCTCGTCAAGAGCCATTCTTTAGCCCACGCCGCCATGGCGCCCCTCCGGTGGATGGCCACGTGGAGCGGCTCCAACGATCTCCCCCGAGGCGTCCACTGGTACGCCAACGCTCTATATTCGTTTAGCGAATTCGTGCTACCCACGTCGTACAAATACCCATAACACGACCATTTCGAAGTGCGAAAGGACAATACGAAGCGCGCGGGACGTGCGAAGGACAGTGTACATAATAATGGTATGTGTAAATAGTATGTGAATGCGGACATTACAAACTGATAATCTCGACCATGTCAAATCCGTTAATGAATTCGTCGACAACGATTTATTCTTATCCACTGGAAATTATTTATTAAGTAGTTTTAAGACCATATTTGCAAATTTTGCACATTATTTAGTTAAAATATGAATATTTGTAAATTGTGTCGGTATTTGTTATTCTGCACAATGCAGAAATACTTAAATGTATGCGCTTATGTTTTTTAAGTAACTGTATAAATAGATATGTAGGCATTAGCAAATCCGAAGAATATTGTCATTAGATACTTATTTCGTCTTCTCTGATTGAAGCAACCCAGTGATTTCTTTCCCATCAGTGACCGAGTGTAACTAGACATTCCTCCGTTGCAATCCTTTCCTTGCCTCTTTCGAAAAGATGAAATTGTGATCTTGGTACCTAAAACTGTGCCTTAAGATTTTATTTATTGTTATTTATAAGCTAGGTATCTATTTATAAATTGACGCAAATGTTTAAATCTTACACATAGAAGTAACTTATTCTGTATGCATTTATCTATCCTTACTAGTTAACTTAAAGTTCTTACTAACACCCTATTTCTAGATTACTAACATATGGTCGTGTTTAAGACGGGATCACTCCTGTAATTTCTTTTGCATGATATTCTATCTATACTCTTTGTTCTATTTATCTAATGTACTTAATATTTATACTCGAAACAGTAATTATATTTAGGGATGTATTTTGTATACAGAGTGTACTGTAGTGTTGGTCGACAGTCGATGTTTACGTGTCGTCACTAATTTATTTGCGTCTCTCCAAGTGGCGCGCAGATCGCTTAGAAGATCTTGAACTGAAGCTTGGGTTCCTATAGTTTGAATTTAGTGGAATGATGTATTGACATGCAATCAACTGTGTTTTAAGTTACGATCTGCTTATACTATAACTTTGTTTAATAAACGTTCCTGCTGGTCAAAGTTAAATGGTTTAATATCTAAAAACAGGGTATAAACTGAATATTGACGTATGTCATTGACAGCAGTAATAACTTGAAGTATTGCGCAACAGTTCCCTGTACGTAATCTTTATCTAAACAACTTTCGTAATCTCTACACAATGATGTAGAATTTTGTATTAAAAAGTGTGAATGTACCTATCGGAAAGCTTTAACTACATAACGTTTTGATGACGCAATTTTGCCATAAATATTGCCATATTTTAATTGTAACGCAGAACATCACGAGTTGTTTTGCAGTAAAGTTTTACAAAAGCACAAGTGAATACCTTATAATTAAGTTGGTGTACAATGCATTACTTACAGATAGTATTAAGTAGACTTTTTGGCATAAAATGTACTTATGTAATTAATGAAATATTTATAATGAGTCTGTCAAAAAATAATGCATTTATGTAATGCATCATATATTTTCTACTTGATAGCGACTAGATGATGTTCACAATCAGTATTTGTAAACGTAAGCTCGAATTTTTTCGCGGCATTCTTTTTTGATAGACAAGTTTTGGAGAATCCAATCTAACGTGTAAATTAAATACAATATGTAATTATTGTGCTTTTATATTATTTATTTATTGATGTTATTTTTGTATTGATAAAAAGTCGCTTCGTAGACAAGATGTATTATTTTTCTAGACCCAATCTAACCACACATCTAACTAAGCTTTAAGCTTGTAGGGAAATGGTATTGAATATAACCAGCATTCTATATTCAGTTTAAATAACATTCTACGAGTAGTATCAGACATAATAAAATGATGGCTTCGTAAACGATCAATTGCTCTTTTTATTTATCAGAGTTAATAACGTAACCTTTTTAATGCGATGATAAACCTAATCCTACTTTGAATTTAATTATAGTTGACTAGTAACTTAATTACAATCTAAAAAAAAATTTCTAAATAGATATTACACTAGGTTCATTAATTACAATTACTTTTGCAATTCCCTAAAAACTTGCAAAAAGAAATCACAAACCAAACAAACAGGACCGATATAGATAGATAACTATCACTGAAGCTGAAACTACTTTTCTATTTACAAAATGAAAAATGTTAGGATGTTCATAAATAACAATAAATTCGTGTCTAAATTAAATGGCTATCAAAATTATTCTATGGTCAATTTTAGAGACTATATTCTAAATTCATCAATAATATGTTTAATATTTATTTATTTACCTATATATTATCCCACAAAGACGCAAAAGTCACAAAACATTTCAGAGCTCAAGGAGATTCAATAAAATGATATTCCATCTAATTATTGGATCCCATAACTTTTTTCATTCGGCAAAGTGATGAACTTCGATATCATTAATTTTACTTACTGTATAATGACAGTCAAACATTTTGTAAATACAGATTAATACGAGTAAGTGCGTAGTTCTAAATCTACATTTATACCCACAATGACGGCTAAGGAATGGATTAATTTCAGAATATTGTAGATTAGTCAGAATTTAGAGGCTTAGGACTTTTTAACTGATATTTTGCTTAATGCGTCATGTAAATATTTACATACCGTATTGAAACAATCACAAGTTGTCTGTAACAACATACGATACTTTTACGACATTACGATATTTTTAGAATAATAAAATATCGTATTGAAATGATATCTACATATTTTTTACATTCGTTAAAACCAAACACATTGTAATTATGCTACTATGCACAGTTTTCATTTACGAGTCGTACAAAAGCTGTAACCTCTGAAGGATTCGCGAAAGGAACAAAAAAATACTGACGAAAATGCAGCCGACATCTAATAACGGAAACAAATTATTGTTCTGTGAATATCCTTAATGACTACTGTTATTTGCTTTTGTTCTAAAGCATAAGACATTCCTTAGCTAACTTGCGTTTCTCTTGTAAAAGAAGCATTCCAAGAATTTCCTAATATAAGCCGAGGAGTGAAGAATGCAGTGCTTATGAAAAACCACGCGACTCAAGCCCAATGACCGTACCTATCTGGTTTATGCGTCCTTTACTTCTATTGTTTCCTCCATTTAATTTTTATGGAACGTTTAGAGTATAATTTTTTGTGACCCTTCCAATGCAGGTAACGTAGTCACCTCTACGACACGGCGCGGTATCTACGCGGAAATGGAAAATGGATCGCAGAGATGTCGCCGCTACGAAGTTTCCGCTACGAGCGGCAGAGTAATGGCTATGGTTTATGTGCTGAATCAGTATTATTGTAGACTTCAGTGAGGGCAGACGTCACTCGAACCGTAGTTCAAAACAGACGTCTTTAATAAATTTAGTATAAATTTTATCAATTGGAAAAAGTGAGGATAATGTATTCTGAGTTAGCAGAACAAACTCAAGGATTTTTATAAGTACGATTAACAGTGACAGTAATTGCAAGGTTGGGCTATTTGAGATCATAACTTTAAAGTAACAACATTTTGTGAAGAGGCGCCTAAATATTTTATCTCCGCTATTGGGATAATAGAAGTTACATTCCCAATAAAATCAAGGAGTCATTAGTTTTCACACCACAGGATTTATGACTGCTGGAAAAATATCCTTCCCAAAATGAGGTAAGTTTGATCTTATTTCTTTAGTCAAATACAATAACGCTGGTAATATCGTCTTTTCAAGTTAACAAAGTTTTGGCCTCAAAGGAATATTTTGTGATATTCCTTTCGTAGTTCCAAAGATCTTTTATACAGCTGAAATAAAATTTGTAGATAAAAATCCTGATTCCACATCAAAGGTGCCGGTGATTGAATGCGAATAGGGATGTACCCTTTTTTGCAAAAGGTCGCATGGGGCTTTGGTACGGAAATAGATTTAAATTTTAGCACCAGACAAATTTAGATTTTTTCCAAACGTTTTACAGGTTGCTATGTGAAAATGACGACCACATGCAATGGGCCTAAAATAATAGTAATGACTCGTACATAGATGCTTCTGTAAAATTCTCCTACTAACTTACATCTTGGTTCCTTGTGATACTAATTTCACATCACATTGTATAGAAAAGCTATAAATAATCATCATCGCATTACCATCTATACACATGTTGTAATATCCAATACATAGGTACTATTATTTCTTGGTTCATATGCACACACTTAACGTTATCCTTATTACGAATTCAGAGAGCCGTGCGAGGCAGTTTTCAATAAAGTTTTAAATTAGTAAAAGTTCGGCAAATACCTACTTATCAATTTTGCCCAAGTGTGCCGCGCACACGGTACTGTTCAATAGCGCAACTTCGAGCTTCTTTGGAAAACCAATTATCAAACTGTTTGAAAAATAAAATAGACACGGTGTCACCTTATTTTATTAGATAGAAAAAAAAAGTTTAAAATGTTCACACTTCATGTGAAAATCAAAAATAACCCGACGAATTTGAAATCAGTTTCATGAAAATTTATTTTGCTGATAATCAACTGTGATAAGAACTTTTTTGGGTTTCATACGTCCTACAACCCACAAAGGTTTGCTACTTAAATAAAAGTAGTGTCTCGCTCAAGAAGTTTTGTGTGTTTTGGCTTGGCCTTTAATTTTAACATCCCACTCGACAGAAAATGTAATCCAAACGGAAAACCAACTCGCATTTTAATGTAGGAAGATAAAATAGGATAAAAAATTATGAAATACCCATTTAAATTTTCTCTGAGTATACTACATGTTGGCCTAATAATAAATCCATCTGGAATTCGGTACGCTGTTAACATATTATCATACTGTATCATAATTCAGTAGGTTAGGCGTACGCGAGTGTGATTTATACGAGGTTATGATGAAACTACGTGTTCTGGGATGGGAGCCGTGTTTGTATACCGAAATAATGGAGGTGCTCTGCATCAGATCAAAGAGTACGTTAGTGCTCGGGTAGCCATTGTCTAGTTTTATGCAATGAACCATGAAAGTGAGGTTTCAATTTCACTCACCCATGCTTATGCCTGCCAATTATCTGACATTATAATTGACTTGATCCCAACTCAAGTAGATTGTGTGTTTAGGGTGATCAGTTTCTAAAATGTATACATGTAATCAAATGGGTCTCTCTCTATCTCACTCAATATTGAAATTCATCTCCGAACTAGGTATGTACTTTTATTAGAATCATATTTTTATACTTTCACCATAAAAACGTCGGCACCACTCAACTATTCACATTATCCCTGTCAACACGAACTGTATCGTGAGCAAACTTTCCGTAGAAAATAACTAGATTACGTACTAACATAGTTTCACTGCATCTCAAAAGGATCATTTCTGACGTCTTGCAACGTTTACCTATAAATCATTTTATAAACTCGTATTCTTATTTTTACTCACTCATTGATCTACTTTCTATTCGATTTCACCCTTAAGCAACTTGAAACTTTATTAATACTTTGAAAACAATCCGAGATGATGTAAACTTCTGAAATTCCTGGAATGCCTTTGAAAACTTAAATTACCCACTCAAAATATTTTTGGGTTCGCGTAGGATTTTAATCGTGGTATTTCAAAAATTACTCTGCTAGCCGTTCAATTCGCGTTTATTTCGGATTTGCATGTCATTTTAACTTCAGAAATACACAAATTTAATAATGTGAAAGGATTATTTGATCAGGAAAAATAAATATACGGAAGATGCGAAAGCAATAAATCTTTATCCAAATCCCCCAAGTGGGTTATTTAATCTTTACGCAACCAACAGGTCTATATTCGCAAATTATAAAACGATATCGTGTGTACAAGCTGCTCACGTAGGTATGCTGATAACTAATCCATGCATTGTCTGCCAAAATTATTTTACTTATCGAAGCAAAATCCAATATTTGCCACGCTGGCAAATGCTATCTAGGTCTTATCTCGTAACCACTATCTAATTGATACGTGTCTGCTGTTATACATCGATTGCACTCCAGGAAACCAGAGTATGTTTACATTGATTAAGTAAATTAACGTTCAATGCATTTCACCTCTCGAGGGTAGTAATATTAACGCAGTACTTACTACGAGTAGTTATTCAAGCAATATTATAGGTCTTTTAATTTAACAAATCAAGTGGCTGTGCCGGGACTTCGTATGCCTGAAAATAATTTGAATAATTTCCAAATGTTTGTTCAACATTTTTTTTACTTCTCCGCCCGTGTTGTCTGTAGGAGTGTAGGGTGATATTATATAGCCTAAAAGCCTTCCCCAATAAATGGGATATCCAACACAAAAATATTTTTAGCGCGATTAGCTCATTAGATGATTGCGCATTCAAGCAAACAAACTCTTATACTCTACTCAACTCTATAATATTAGTAAAAGTATCTAGATTAAAAATACATATACACCTTGTACCTACCTACTAACAACCAGTAAAGGTAGCGAAAAATTAAGTACCTATCAATATTAAAAGTGACTCGGATTATAAACGGACTCGACTTCCTGGGAAAAATTAATAAATTCTTTAAAAATGTAGAGTGGAAGAAATGAAATGGCTTTTTATTATTGCTCTACCTCATTTTCCGACTGGTTAATTTCTCGAGACCCCGATAATTACAAAGCGCCTCTAATGAAATCGGAACAAACACAGTTTTGAGTACCCGTAAACATAATTTAACTTTCCAGGTAATTAAAAGTATGCCAAATGTTACGACTGCATTAAAAATTAGAGACTTTGGACTTTGAACTTTCTAATTGGATTTTTATCGGGTTTACAGAAAATTCCTTATTTATTTATGTACTTACGTAACGAATTGTATTTCAAGACAAGTATTTTATTGCTTTAGGACTTTGATGGCGGTATGTAAAAGTGCTAGGTAGTTCTTAGTAAATAATTGAGGTAATTTACCTTGAACTGAAAAGTTTTATTTAATTTAACTCTTATTTTTCAAAATAAAAATACACCATCTAACCATAAATAAATTATTGACCTACTTATTTGACAATTTTTATTAAATACTAAAATATTTTTTATGAAAATTGCAAGAAAATTATGTTTTACTCAAAATTACCCATTCAATTAATGTTACCAGAAAAGTGAAAATAGATTTAAGCAAAGTGCTGAAATATGGATTTCAGAATAAAACATGACAAGTCTGGGTAAGTTTTAATGAAATCTCTAAAGTCCAGTTCTTGGGTTTCTTATCAAAACGGAATTTAGTTTGATTGTTTAATTAAGAAAAGTGTTTTGAAGAGGAAATTGCAATTTCGGTTCTTTCTTAGTTACATAGATAGAGAAATAACTTAGAAATATAAAGTAATTTTCAGATGCAACTTCATTCAATGGTCAACATTTTGTAATACGTGATACCTAGACTACTGTTTTATTAAAAACAACCAAGTAAATGCAATGTTGGGTAAATAATACAAAACTGTACGTACTTTTTAAGTAATTAAATCCATTATCATATAAATCAATCCAATGCGTTGGATAGTCATAATTCACCAACAAAATGTTATGCTTGTAAAAAACATATTGTAACCCAAATGATATTATTGTGCTGTGTACAGTACACACACACAGTGTACTATTTCTAAATAAAATAAAATTGGGAAAAATTATACTTGAAGATAAAAGAAAATCAATTTACTTTCATCCACTCTCCTCTCAATCCCATTGAATTAGGCATGTTCTACGAATACTAATAATGTAATGTTTGATTTCCTCTTTGATATTTTCTCTACGTTTATTTTAAGCCAAATAAATCTTTCTTAATGACGTCGGAGGATATTTTCGGTAGAAGTTCCATCGGCAATAACAGCCGATAAAAGGTTTTCCTGCTAAAGTTATCAGATTCAGAGTCTTATTTACTCCCATGCTTTTTCTGTTCGGGATTTTCTATCTAAATAAGTTTGAAACTACCAATTTTCAGCAACCCGCTTTTCTATTTGCAAACTTTTCTTTCGAAGAATATAAGTCGTGATATCTATTGTTACTTTTTTGCAAATCTACCAAATAAAGCTTCAGGATTTTTTCGTTTTGTGACAATAAAAAATGGCTATCAAAAATCAAAGAAAAAGTTGAAAATGTAGTTAGTTCTTATTCTTTTTATATTACGTACCTACTTCATAAATTCAATTCCAATTTATTTTTCTAATTAGAATTGAATTTCGCAGTGCCCAACTTCCATTAGAAGTCGTAAAATGTACAGATTAAATCTTTAGTAGGTAAACACACTTTGCTGACAAATAGTGCTATGCATTACTGTTGGAAAATCGCTTTTATTACACCTAAATAAGATGTCGCTGGGCTAAGCTTGATGTGCCGTCTGTGCGTGATAAAATTAATCGATTCCCGGCACTCGCGCGAGACGTAACAGTTTGTGGTGAGAGCCATCGCGTCTGGAATTGCGGGTGGTTGGTAAATGCAATTATCTCGACACTTTATCTTACACGGCTGCGAATGTCTGTTATGCTTCAACGAGACCGATAAGAGATTTGTTTTCCTTCCAGCACATAACGCAATTATGTGGATTTCAAACAACATAAACCTATTTCTGAGTTCGTCTATAAACCGATGACGATAGCACATTTGCATTTGTACCTACTTAGGTATATTGTGTTCTCGTGTTTCGTATAACTGGTATAACCACAGAATACA